TAAGAGAGCAATATGGGTTTCGCAGGGAGAGAATATCGGGCAGAGATGGCATTTCCAGTGATCCCAGCATGTTGAACAATGGCGCGAAAGTCTTTGACAGAAATGACGACATGAAGCTTATCCTCAACGTCGATATCATCAAATTCATCTGTTTCAACAGCAATCGAGGTCTGCAACGGCTTTTTTAGCACCGCTGCCAGTGGATGTTAGTGCTATGCAAGTTCTCCCAGTGGTGACGAGGTCTTTCATACCGTCCTCATTAACGGTTTTTTCGCTAAAACATGTGAAGTTGACATGGTCACCGTCAGTATTGATATCCAAGTACTCGATGCCGGGTCCGAAATGGTCCATGAGCTGACGAAGCGTCCTTGATGATATTGCCCAGTGGTGTGGTGCATCTTGTCTATTAAATTTTGCGTGAACGGGTACAGCCACCTCGAATGGCAAGCGATGAGTTGATGTCAAGCCATTCCGAAACACAATACGGGCGATGAAACGACTTTTAATGCCTTCCCCATCCTCGACGGTGATATCACACCTGTCGATAAGTGTCTGCTTCTCCGCATCTCGTTGACTCTCTGAGCTTGAACGACTGCGAAATAGCGATATAAGTGACTAAATACGTCATGGAAATTAGTACTATGTGCAGAATGATATATTCTAAAAAAATCTAGGACGGTACAAGAGGTATGAGGGCAGATAGAGTGGTTGTAGAGATAATTTCAAGAGCTGGGGAGTCACCAACCCTGATATATAGTGTGCAATAGAATCTGTCGCGAAATTGGCCCATGGGCTGACATTGGTATTTAGAGAAGAATCTGTTTGTGGCGAACTTGAAGCTCGCATAGGCGGACTTGGAACTATTCAAGGTTGTAAGAACGAACTATAGAGTCCACGCTGTTAGTGACTGAAAAGCATGGGGCCCGTCTCGTCGGAGGACGACCTTACCGAGTCTTTTCTAGCTTCTAGGGATATATCATCGCTGAATTTGTTCAGACATATCAGTGCATCACGAAAGGCAGACACGCCTTCTTCGCTCAGGGTGAAGGACAGGATTGCCATGATACGGTTCGGAGGATGCGTCGGGGTTCATGTCAGCCAATAGTCAATGAAGCAATCATGCAGATGCCGTACAGGTAATTCCTCCGTGAGAGACAAGGAGGCTACCGATTCGTTTGGTTACTTAAGTAGTTAGTAGAGTGACATGAAATGCTCTCAGTGTGTGTGTAGGTGTTACAAGGATGGAATCCGGGAGGGCACGGCACAGTGTGAAATCAATTGATGTCTTGGTTCAAATGTTTAGCCCAGACAGCTCAGCCAGCTGGCAGCTGGGCCTGTCCCTGGAGAGGTCTGGTGGGGCCTCCCTGCCCAGCCACAACCATGCAGCTCCAGGCTGCTACGCGCCTAGCTCAACCCTCTGAAGGCGCCCGCAGCGGATTTGATTGATATGTCCCATGTGAAAACGTTGAAGTTAATCGTAGTCATGATTGTTTCCATGTCTTTATTCCAACTTGAGATCCCCCCAAAGGGAAACCCTGGCGAGCAGCTTTGAGGCAAGACTCGATGACAGTTCGACACAATAAACTTCATAGCTCCGGAGCAGGAAATATAGATGTCGCAATCTCTATTTGAATTCTTTGGTAGAACAATCATTCTTGAGGATCTCCATGGCTGCAGCGTCTCTAGATAACAGTACAGTTTCCTTTGTTCTCCCAAAACAGTGGGGATGCAAGCAGTATTAGCTGTGATAAATGAAACCGAGCAATAAACGCAAATCAGGGGCAAAAACAACACAAATTCGCATAGAAACCCGTCCCGCCGATTCAAGACCAAAAACGACATTAGGGTAAACCTCCGGAACGCCAACAATGAATCCCTCCATGGGTGTTCTTGGGAATCATATCCGCCTCAAAAAAAACGTACGTCTGAAATCGTGGCATACCCTCTTCTTGTCCTTCGCTGCCATTCGCATCCTCGAAAACGCGGTTACCCATTCGGGACCGTTCATAGAAGAAGAAAAAACCAAGCAGCCAGATCGAATGATTTTGCTACTTTAAAGCACCTTGCACGATGGACGCCCGCGCAATTGCTCTGTACAGCCAAATTGTTGGATGGAAGCGGCCTGGAACCATGCTGGGCGAGAAGTCACCGCTCAATGAGCAATATGGTCGTCATCCTACATGACCGTAGAGGCCAATAGGCGCGATTCAACATCATCCATTCCCATGCCATCCATGCGCGGCCCCTCCATATTTTGTAGTCTTGACTCGATCGTTTGGAATCGGGGTTCGTAACCACCCGCTCGAGCCTCCAGGTTTTCCATTCGCTTCTCGATATTATCCAACCGTTGCTCGATGCGTATAAACCCTTGAGCGATGTCATGGCTCAGCCGATCCAACTTGTTTGTGAAGGAGCGAATAGTCGTTGCTAATGGTGCATTTTCTTGGCCTGGTGTTCCAGATGGAACGCGGGGTTCGTGATTATGGCGAGGCTCCTGCAAAGCGAATCTCCACTGATTTCCGAGTTGCACCTCGCATACGGCTTTTGCACGAAAAGGACAGTCGATCTTGCGTGTGGAGGGATTGCGCTTCTTGGCTGTACTGTTGTACTTGACTCCACCCCGATCACATACCAGGTCATAACGCGTCGGCTTTCCGTCTCGATAATTAGATGCGCGAAGCTTGACAATTCCATATCCCTGATCTTTGGCGACCCTCTGAACCGAAGCCATAAGATCCTCGAAAGATCGAAATATGCCTTCCGGGGGTGGAAGCAGAGCTGGCGGCGGTGTGTTCGGCATCGCGATGGATTGGGCCACGGTGGCGCGACTTTTGAAACAGGCACGCGAGGGGAAGAAGAGAGTGCTGATAGTCAAGGTCGCAATAACGACGGCCGTTCTCTCTCCCTGTGTGCAAATAGTCGGGGAGGCAGTCCCAGAAGGATTGCCGTGTCGTTTGGATGCGGTAAAAGCTTGGTACAATCGACCCAAGTGCAAGAGGTTGGGCTGTAGGGATTTTCCAATCCGCACTGTCGACGAGTTAATAAGGTTTGGTGTTGATCCGGTCCGGCGAGTGCTAGCCAGTCATGGTGCAGGAAGGGTCTGGTCACAGGGGTCTCCAGACCCCGCTGGCACCGTGGACGACCGCGTTGGACGCTTTGGCTCGCGCAATATTCCACAGTTGTACTCCGTACCTTCCAACCTACCTAGGTACTTAAGTACCTAAAGCTCCTGGAACACAGTCTACAGGAGCTCTCATCTACAGGTAAGAATGAGGCCCTCATGTGGTCTGCTATTACTGCATTCGTCAGATGCATTAATGTAATGGATTATGAACATTTGAAGGGTCTTCCAGACTACACTAGTGCGCATAAAATAGAAGGGACAAAGTATTGGTTAATGCATCTTGCTAAGCCTTGTTAATAGATGGGATATGCGAGGATCCTCGGGTTGTCTCCTTTCTGCTCGAGCACCCAGGACTTGGGTAAAGCTCTGGTTTCAACATGTTAATAAACGGGGCAATACTCCATGGGAAGCAATGACTAGGGTGTTAATCTGCCGTCACAGAGGTTGGGTCGTGTCGGGCTTTCCCTCTCCCAGCCCCACAAAATAATTCCCCTGCTCTTCGCCTCATCAACTACTGCCTACGTAGGTAGATAATATCACGACGACGGCAAGCCAAAGCCTTGCTATACGACTGGAATCAACAGTACACACGACACGTTCCTATCGTTTCTGTGCGTTACCGTCTCTTCAAATATATTAGATCAGTCGACGCGTCTGCAATATTACTCCGTTGCGCAATGAATTATCAGCCAGGAGCATCAGCTGGCTTGCCTGTAGGCACCAGCCAATCCATGGACGAGGCTCAGTTGAACCAAGCAATGAAGCGGCTCAAACTCCTGTACATCAAAGTACGACCTAACTTTCTTTCATCTCCATTTCCTCCATGTCTAGAGTCACCCTGTTATTCCATCAATACTAAACGACTTCTACCTTAGGCGCGATTACTGAGAGATACCATTCCCAAAATGCTAGATCCTCTCGTCCAAAAGCAGCCGTCTCGTAAGTCTTCATAAATAGCCACAGCGCATCATTCTTGGACTTATTACCAACGGGGTGCCTCATCTAGCTGATATTATGTTCAATGCATTCGTGAAGGCAGTGAGTGACGCACAGATGGATGTGAAGGAATTCACAGAGTTGATGAGAGATGAAACAACCAAACAAGTGTTTGCTCAAGCAGAAAAAAGCAGGCAGGACAATCCGCTCGGTATCAAGCAATGGAGACATAAAGACCACCCGGATTGGTTCAAGATGGATAAGGATTAATGCAACGGGTTCTTCTTGTCACTATATGTATTCTATTGGGCCATTACTGTTCGGCGTACTCGGTTAAGGGATATCGGAGAGGAGCCAGGTAGTTTCAAACTTGTCGCTTGCACTTCTGTCACAAGATTATTCTGGCTCGTTCACTCTCATACTGTGTGACCTTCGTGACACTTGCCGCGATTCAAGCCAAACAATCCTTGGATACCTAGGGCAGATGGCTCACCATTGCTGATCGAACACCCGAAGAGCAAAGTCTCCCTAAGTTCGTAGCGATGCACTCAACTCACCAAATCCAGAATCCTGCTGCAGGATCGCGGTTTTAACACATCGTCACTATATTCAGTATATTTCAATATATATCCCCAGACTAAAGTGATTTATTTGGCTTCTGTAAGTCATTTGCATTGGACATCGGCGAATCCGAAGTCCGCGAGGCTTCACGGAACTCGCCAGCTCCACTCGACCCCTCTGCCAGCAGCCTCTGACGAGCTGGTAGACTGCGGCATCCACGTGACTAATAGTGGGTCCAGTAACGCAAGATATTCACTCTGATTCGCTGCATTAGCGGGCACAACTCTGTCTTTCTGCCCACACAAATTTTACCCAAATCTCGAAATTCCTCGTTCCCTGGTGAGATCCTCATTGTACACTCCCAGCACGACAAGCAACAATGGCGACCCAACGAGTTACCTACCGCCGCCGCAACGGGTGAGTTTTATAGTCAGCGTCTAGATGCGAAATTAATTTCATGTTATTTGCATCCACGACCATACAGCTAACATGTTGTCCACAGCTACAACACTCGTTCCAACCGAACCCGAGTCGTTAAGACTCCCGGTGGCGAGCTCCGACTGTTGCACATTAAGAAGCGAGGCACTGTCCCCAAGTGCGGCGACTGTGGCTCCAAGCTATCTGGCGTAAGTGTTTACCGAACCCGACAACGATCTATTCGAATAGGAGGAGTACTGGTTGAGGGGATGGCATGTTGCGAGATGGCATGACGGTTTCTCACTTTGTCATGAATGCGTTTGGGAACATGGCAATGGCGTGGCCATAGGGCCATACAGACCTAAACCTCAGTCTCAAGATCATTGGCGCATGGCAGCGGGCAGTCCTATCGCGAAACCAAACTTGGAAATCAGATAGCTAACAAGCTTTGGTACTAGATTCCCGCCCTCCGCCCCCGAGAATACTCCCAGATTTCGAAGCCTCAGAAGACTGTTCAGCGTGCCTACGGAGGATCGAGATGCGGCGGCTGTGTCCGTGACCGTATTGTCCGAGCCTTCTTGATCGAGGAGCAGAAGATTGTCAAGAAGGTGCTGAAGGAACAGGAGCAGAGCCAGAAGAAGAAATAAATATATTTCAATGAAGTGTCGGGCTTACTGCGTGTTTGGCAAGGAACTCTTTGAGGGGAACGGTTCATTGCTTTGGTGTTCATTAGGACAAAAAGGGACTGCATGATACATTGGGGACTGGGCCGGAAAATCCGGTCTCCTGCTGTCGTTAAGGCTGCTTTTCTTTCTTGGTGATTCGAATGAGAAACATCAAGTTGGCACTTTTTCGGATCGATCACCAATGTGTTGCGACAACGATTCAGCGCATTTGTTGTCCAGATGTGATTTATGATCATGATGTAATTGCGACCATGTGTAATACCAGCGCGCATCACCTACCAAGATATGTATACGTCCCTAGGGTAGGGACGAGTGAATGTCGTACAGAAAATGGCCTGAGAAAAAAGAAGCACTCTCCCGAATTGGATGCTACCGTGCCTTCTACCATACTGACAGAATCGTCGCCTGCGCTCAATATCGGGTGGTAGAATAACCATAGCTGTCAAATCGCGGGACAGGCTGTGCCAAAGTGGCGTCCCAGCGAATTTCACTGGAGCTTCTACAAACCAAGGACTGACGCACGCGAACTTAGAATGATCATACGCAACTACATCTTTATCCCACACTCCGGTACGCACGGCAAATCCGACCTCAGTTGTCTTCTCAGCTCTATCAAAATTACGATCGCACTCTAGGCGAGCAACGTCCACAATATTTAAGTTATGACAAGTGCCCTGCGGTGCTGTTCCAGAGACTGGCGGCGTACATTCTGGGGCCGTAGCTGTCGCAATTGGTCTCACACGTTTCGGTCGCAGCATTCAGCTCTAGCTGCATCCTTACCCAGGGCTCGTACGCAGAATACTGGTTATGGGAATCATCTTCGAACACTGCAGACATGTACCCGTTTCCTCCGCTCACGGCGAGATGTACCGTCCGAACCGCCGCCAACCAACTTTTCCGAATTGGACATGTTAGGGGACATGCCCGCGCCCTCCACATCGGTCGACGTTTGTATGTATGACGGGTTTGGCCTTAATAGCGGTCTTACAATCACGGGTGGTAATGGAGCCCTGTTGGTGAACGGGGAGGCCTTTGCGTGGAGACCATGGGAGGCAACGGGATCAATGGAACTTGTAAACAAGAAGGGCCAATTCGATCTCCCTAAGGAGGTATTCGGGATATTTGATCTCCTCTGGCCAAGACCGGGTATGTTCCAACACTCCTTCTTGGGCAAGCCTTTTCGTCGGCGAGGCTTGTTTCGCTATCACCGCCACGGTCAACCCAGGCCCCATGGCGGTGGCAATACGCCAAAATACATCTGGAGCCATCATATTCTAACGGGCCTCTTTGCTTAGATTTACTCGTCATTGGTGTCGGAAAGCACAACCTCCCACTCAGCCCAGAAACTAAGAAGCACATTGCCGAGCTAGGAATGAGGGTGGAAGTTTTAGACACAAGAAACGCAGCTGCACAGTTCAACCTACTTGCCACCGAACGAGGCGTCTCTGAGGTTGCAGCAGCTTTGATACCCATTGGATGGAAGGAGGGCGTAGGAGCTGAGGCATAAGGTGCCTCGTTTGGCAAATGTGTTGTCGTGCATACTCTGACATTGCTTTGTATGGCCACGCTGAATTCAAATGTCTTGGTGCTTGGCTTAGTGACATGGTGTAGATAACTTGTATGGATATAATCATTACATCCGGCCTATATGGAAGTTTTCCCATGGTCTCCTTGGGTTGAATCTTGATATATTGTGTGCGCTTGAATTGAATCATCCCTTGACGTGTTTCGCTTTTGTGTTCGTTTCTGGATCCTCCAACGGCAAACCTCAACCAGTTCGGGCGTCAATGACACTCGTGCTTCTGGCATAGCTTAAAAAAAATCACAAAGTGGTGTCAAACCCGCACCATGATACATATCATCCAGCTGCTCAGCAATTATTGTAGTATTTATAACCGGGCGAGATGGTTGCAGGGTAAGCTATTTGCATGCGTACCAAGTACCAGGCAGGTCCTGCGCAGAACAGGGCCGCATTGGGGTTTTCCGTCAAAACAGTACGGCGCGTTGCTCCTGCCAGTCTCAGTGGTCAGAGGCGCATACGTGACAACTGATTGGCCATGATCCTAGAAGCTTGCCCAACGCAGCCCTTTCTAGACTTCACCGTTCCTACACCCTTGTAATGATTTTCGAGAGCATGAATTTTCGCTCGAGGTACGCAAGCCGAGAGTCTTAAGCGTCACACGGTACTTGGCTGTCGCTGGTCAGCGAAACTGTCTCGCCCTCGTATGCCTGCCCTACACGCGGTGCGTTTGCGGCCCTGGGAAACTTCAGCACAGCCTGATATTAATCCCCAACACCAACACCGTCAAACGAGCTCTTCCCAAACAGCCTCACTCTAGATGGCTGGAGCGCATGAACCGTTGCCCACAGCGGGCGAATATGTCGACACGGGTCCTCATACAACGGACCCCCCCTTGCTGAGAGATCACTCGCAGCTCAAGACGTACAAGACGAGTCGTTTCGAGTATCCTGATATAAGGGTATTTTTCAGACCACATCCTAAGGCCGCAGAACTTCCAAGGACGCCTGCGCCGTTGCCGCTCGTGGTCTGCATACCAGGTCTGGGCGGTTCTGTTGCGCAGTTCTATCCGCTGTTGAATAGCCTTGTCGACCTCGCTTCCTGCCTATCCGTGGATTTTCCCGGAGGAGGGCGTTCACGATATGCTGTCACGTCATGGGATGCCTACACACCGGAAGCCTTGGGTGAATTATTGGAGCTCGTAATTGAGGATCACCGTGATAATGAACATGGCCAAGGCATAATCCTAATTGGACATAGCATGGGTACCATGCTAGCCGCGCAGCTTGCAAGCAAAAGTGTTTCGCATCAGACTAGTTTGTCAAAATATGTTGTCGCCGTTGTTGCGGTGTGTCCAACGGCGGGTCCCCCAGACCAGCAAAGGTCTTCTCTCTTGAAGCGACTTTTGTGGATGCCCGGCTGGATGTTCTCACTCTGGCGAGCCTGGGACGGTATCGGAGGTCCGTACAGTCCGAGTGTGTCCCGTTTTGTAGGGAAGGAGGCAGATTTGGAGTTGAGAGTGATGCAATATCGGTTTAACCAACAGAGCAGAACCCCGGTATGGAGACGTATGGCATATGGTGCTCTTCCAGTCTATGAGAATGGCAAACCCATAGGAGGGCTGCCCAGCCTTGATACGTGGGCCGGGGTGAAGGTGCCGGTATATCTTATTGCGGGCGAAGACGATCATTTGACACCACCGGGGGAGGTCGACAAGATCCTTCAGGTGCTGAATCATCGTACAAACAGCACGCAATCTAACGATGAACACACAAATCAGGAAGAGTTGGCAATATCGAGCCAGTCACCTACACAGGTTCCATCGCAGACCAGCGATACAATCTACGATCTTACAGAGGAGAGTTTTGCGACGGACAAGATTGGAGCGGCCAGCATCGACAATGCTGATGATGAGCCGTCGACTCCGCTAGAATCGCCTGCATTTGTGCCTCCGCAGCCTGCTCACCCGACGCCGGTAGTCCAGTCGTTCGTGATGCCTTCACCAGCGAACCATGCTCTTCTGTATATGCCACGGTGCTCAAGAGTGTTGGCCGGGCTTATCTCAGATTTCCTCGCCTGTCATATTACCCAAAGATTGTCATTAGCTTGGCAGCTGCAGTACTTGTCCCGTGAGGGGAAATGGGACGTCAAGAACTTAATCAAATGGAAGTCAGTCGCGCCGGTATCTGAAGAAATTGGACCCGAGGGACGTCCCATTTTTCGCGCCTTGAAGACACTCCGAGAAGCCGACGACGTGCACTCCCCCTCTGAATTCGTTGGGACATGGAGTCATGTTGTCAAGGATGTCATCGATATTTCTAGAGACCAGCCGGTTTATGACCCGCGAGGCCTCGAACGAGGTGGTGTGCATTACCACAAGTTCCCCACTGTGTCCAAGATTCCGCCTCAGCCGAAAGAGGTCGAACTGTTTATCAAGCTTGTTGATAAATTACGGAATGCCCAGATGGAGCGGGCTGATACAGAGGGCTGGGAACATTCTGAGAAGTGTGTTGTGGGCGTGCACTGTCACTATGGCTTCAACCGTACTGGCTACTTCATAGTGTGCTATCTTGTTGAACGTTGCGGGTTTAGTGTCCAAGAGGCGATCGAAAAGTTTGCACAGGCGAGGCCAAATGGAATTCGCCACTCACACTTCTTGGATAGGTTATATGTGCGGTACAATGTTGAAGAAGGACCAAGCCAGCAACCGTCGCCATGAAATTCGCCATGTCAGATCCCTTAAATGATCTCAGAGACCCCGAGAAGTCTGCTCCGGTCGATATCATGCAACTGAGTCCGGTACTCGCCCGTTAGCGGCCCTTTTGCCACATTCGTGCCGAATAATGGGGCTGACAGTTACATATTTCTGTACTGATGACGCATCACTTTCACTTATAGACACTGACTTGGTGATGTCACGATTTCACTTTATGGTTAAAGCAAGGCGTTTCGAGAGCTTCCTGGGCAACCCTTTGCATAATGTTTTATATACAATCGTCCATCTAATGGAATCAACTTCATATGGTGCACATCCCTGGCGAATGCGACTAATAATGAGCCTACTAAACAGTAATACCAAAACCCTGCTGATATGCTACCCTCTCTTCCCTGACAAGATGAACGGATGTCGATGTCAATATGGTGGGTGTGAATGCTTGCAATCCCCCCCGCCCCCTTTGCTGAAGGCATGAACTCGTAAAATTCGCAATATAAATGTGAAATATCCCGCTTCCGTCTCATCATCAGTCTTCAAAGGTATGATACTTACCGGACGCCCAATCTCCAGTCTCTTTTGGATCCTGAGTTGCATGAAAACTGTTGTCGTCGCTGATCCGAGCTTTCTGTTGAAGTTCCTGTGTGATCTCATCAACATCTACCTCTAGATAGTGGCTGAGAAAGTGTCCTATTTCGGTATTCTCAACGTTGCCTCGAATTCGTTCAGTCTCTGGGCCGCCAGAGCTGTAGACATTGACGTCGACGGCTGTGTGACCATGCGTGCTCCAGCCAACGTGTGCACGAAGAGAGATAATAGCAGCAAAGGTATTGACAGAAGCCTCGGGGTCATTAGCAAGAAGCGAAAGCTCATCATCGGTGGCATCAGTGACACCCAGGCCGGGAATAACAAGCTTTTCGTTTATCCATGATTTGAGCTGTTGCTTGGAAATAGAAGCAGGCATGTTGGACACATGACTCTGTAACGACTTAGCCAGGCTTTCGCACGAGGCAGAGACATTGGCGAGTACATGCGGATACCAGTTATAAACTGGAAGGTGGCCAGGCTCCTGGAGAGCGGTAGCCAGCCCACCGGTCTCATGGTCACTGGTTGCAACGAGAATGGTTTCAGTAGTAGTGTCATCGATGAAATCCAACACGGCCTTGAATGTTTTATCGTATTCCAGGACCTCTCGTACCTGAGCGGCGGGATCATTGATGTGGCCAGCATGATCGATTCGGCTACCCTCGATCATGAGGAAAAAGCCTTTATCGCTTTTGTCAGTAGCCTTTTCCAGAGTACGTAGTGCAGTCTGGGCCATTTCGCTGAGACTTGGATAAACGTCATTCATGTTCCTTCTGTCCAGTTCGAAAGGGATGTCTGATGAGGCGAACAATCCTAATAACGGCAAGTTGACATTTTGACCTGCATGGAGAGCATCGAAAGCCTGGCGGCTGTCGGCATACGACCACCCATACTTTTCCTGCGCCAAGGCAACGACATCAATGTCATCCAAACGACAGCTACCGGCAGTAGAGTTGGGCATGAAATGGCATCGTCCACCACCTAGCATGAGGTCAACTGAGCGGCCAAGAGGTCCATGACCGACTTCTTGCAAGGCAATGGCGTCCTGCATCTGCCTAATCAGGACATGACTTGCAAAACAGGCCGGAGTTGCGTCGGTGATGTCGGTAGTGACGACCAGACCCGTGGCGTACCCGGCCCTCTTTGCAGCTTCGAGAACAGAGCCACAAGGCTGAAAGTCGGGAAGCATTGAAATGGCACCATTGTAGCTCTTTTTGCCGCAGGAGAAGGCGGTGGCACCAGCGGCACTGTCGGTGACCAGGGAGCTGCTAGACCGTGTCCGACTAGAGCCCCAGAAGTGCTTGTCCAAGACGAGTGTGTCGTGCTCAGGGAGACCCTCGACGTGCTGACGATAGCTGCGGGTCAGTGATAGTGAGGCAGGGCCCATGCCATCTGAGACCATAAAGACAAGATTGCGCTTGGTTGGTCGAGGGTCGGGGTCTGGCCTGGACGTCTGTTGATCATGCTGGGTGGCGATGGCTATGATAATGACGGCAGCAGTAGCGATCAAGGCCCAAACGAAAATTCCGATTTCGCGGAGTCGTGACCACCTTGAATCCCTTCGGCTATGATGACGTCTGCCATTTTCATGGGATTGGTTCTCGTTGCCGAGGAGTGGGCTTTGCTCAGACTCCTGTTGTGAGAACGGTCAAAATCTGAGAGCTTACTTCGGGGGGAAGCGAGGGAGGAGAGGAGGAACGGAGATTTCTTGGGTATGGCTAGGCTGGCAATAAGTTACTTACCATGGATCAGCAAGTCGCAGATGGGGCGGGTGATTGGGGGATTGAGGCAGGATCAGGCGGCATCTACAAACGCTGCGTGCTGGAAGAGAGGCTGCAAAACTGCTAGCAGACGCCTCCGATAAGTAGAGAAATAAAAAATCACAGCAGGAAAACCAGGCGATATACTGACACGGTAAAGAGGACGTTGGAGAAAGGGGGCGCAGATGGCAGAGAAAGAATGAGTCTTATAGGATGACACATGAGAACATGAGGTCGTACTCGTGATGCACGAGACGGCACCGGTTATACTTTCAGGAACAGAAAGGTTGTCATAGCCAGCCAGCCACTTTGGCCGCCAGACCCCGACCAGGACTGCCGCAAGCCAAGGGGCCACCCGTCAGCCTTTGTGATCGGCATGCGTGTGTGCATTATTTTAGAGTGTGCGTGCATGTACAGGCAGTCTGCCGCCACAGCCAGTGACCCCGTGCTTGCTTGGCCGGGCGCCACCAACAAGCGATCCGAGCCAGCTTGTACACACCTGGGTAAAGTACCTACATGTAGGTACATAATTACGGAGAGTACTACATTGTTTAGGTAAGTCCCGAACACGACATGGACCCAAATCTCGAAGTCTTCTCCACAGGAGTCACAAAGTGGGCGCAACTTCCATCGATGTCGCCTTGCGACAACACTACGTATTATTGCACAGTAAGATGCAGACTACCAATTTTGCGAGTCACGAAAAGCCTTGTGCAAAGCTGGCATCGCCAAGCGCGCACACCCTTCACGATTGTTCTCGCCACTTCCCGGTGCTCAAGTCTGGTGCACGCCACCGGTAGTTGCATTACATGGCCAGCTGACCCGCCTCGCGCTAGAGCTTCAGGAACTCTGAATGCTCACATGCATCTGCAGCCTTGCCCAATCTGTTAATTCACTTGGTCGAGTTGGGAGCGCCTATACCCAGGCAAGAAGCCAGGCTTGGAAAATGGTGGTCTCGGTCAAGTGGCCACCCAATTCACAACCCCCAGGGCGCCTGGTCGACGAAAACGTTGATTGCCCCGATTTGATCCGCTAGGTAATTTGGTGCAACATCGTCGAGATTGAGAAGCATATTGAGAGACTCTTGACACGAGTCCACCCGTCACGCTGCCACAAGAAGCAACCCCCAAGGCCAATGCTCTTCGACGAAGAAAGTACGTGGACAGAACTGCCAACGTGGGACAAAAAAGACACCCGTGGCCAATGCCCAGACACAGGCCCTGGGCCAGTAGAAAGTGCCAATACTCGGAACATAGGGAAATTGCAAAGATGCCCACGCCCAGCAGAACGGTACCGAGCAAGAAAACAGCACGGAAATAGCCTGCATCCTGCATCCACGAGACGGCCGGTGAGGGTGCCCACGCAGAAGAGGAGAAAGACATTAATTGAGCCTATCCACGACACGTTTCTCGGTGCCCTGTGCAAAAGTTGAGTGTAGTATGTCTGGAAAGTGCCCAAGGAGTTGATGCAACCCCTTTAGTTGGAAAACAGAACAAAGAAAGTCAGCTAAAACATGGCCGTGTGGTGAAACTGTATATCTGGAAAGGGGGTGGGAGGAGCAATTCACACAGCACCGCAAGCATCCGAGTCTGTTGTGGTCCAGTGTATGCATGACATACCATGTATTGAAGATGACGAGATGACCAACAAGGCCTAGTTGTTTGTGTGAGTAGTCCAGAGAACCATTCAGAGGGACGGGACCTGGGTCTGGGTCTTCCATATGGAGGCGATGACGGGAAACAAATTGAGACGAGCTGCGTTCTTGTTTTCCTCTTCCTTTGAGAAGTTACAACTTACATCGAGTCCAGGCCAGCCAACCACCATCTGGAGGAGGCCCGGGGTCGTAGCTTGATCTCGACACAACCCGGTTTACAACACGACTAAGAAGAGCACTTGGCAGCTGGTTTTCGGCCATGGTGGGCTCGTCCAGTCCGAAATCATCACCGTCGTTTACATCCATCGGCGTGCCATGACGTCTGCGTCCGAGGTTTATATAGACATGCCGCCGGCTATGAGTATTAGCCCGGATGCTCCGCTCCGGGCCAGCACACAATTTCGTTAATTATTTATTAATGTAGTCCACAGGGTTCTGGGAGTAGTGGCAGATCGTGCACTCCTAGTCGAAGCCTCGGGAGTCGGGAACATTGAAAAGGTTTCGGCTACGACACGGCACGGCACGGCACGGCACGGGGTATGTGGGGTCGAGAGTTGCGTAACATACCTAGTAGTATGTACCTAGGGTGCGGAGTATTTAACGACAATCACCCAATAACGATAAAAAAAAAGCCTCACGAAGGCTATCTTTACAGGCCTGGCTTACTGTAGTTACTAGTAAGTATGCAACTCGCTTGGATGTATAGAAGAAACCAGCGAGCGCGCCGTCTCACACAACTGAAATCACCACTAGCATTTGGATTTTAGATGCCTAGGTAGTCAAGATGATTCTCCTTTCCCGACATTTCCATGGTGTTTCTGAGCGCCTAGTGCCTCGCAGAGTCGCTCTTGTCACCTACATGTACTCCGAAGAGACTCGGGGGAAGAGTCTCGCCTTTCCCAATGAATACCTCTAGATACCTAGTAGGTAGGTTTAAGGACGTCAGTTGAGCAGCTATTCGGCATCCACGCCTACTTCTGTGGCCATTCTGTGGTACATTGTTCTTCTGTGGTATGACCCTTCACACTTTAGATTGCAACTCCTCATAGTGTTAGGTTGGATCAAATGACCCTTGTGTCTCGCCATCGGCTACCTACCTAGGTAGATACTTCATTACTAGGTAAGTAGGGCATCAAAATATACGGCGCCGACAGCTCTTCATGGTAAGTCTATTCGCTCAAGAGGCTAGATGTTGCCTACATGCCTTCTCGTATCCCGTCTCTTTGTACGTACTAGTTAAAATATGTAGAGGAGGGGCAATGCTAGATATAATTCGAGTGCAAAGACAGGATCTCCGGAAACCGTGGTGCGAAGTGGCCGGAAAGTTTTGGCAAGCTGCACCAGACATAACCCTTGCGCGCTGCAAAAACGTCTTACAAATGCCCCCTTTGCATGAATCTGGTGCCTCATCCATTCTCTACACTGCCAATGCTGCAAGCTCGCATTTCTTCCATCACACATCATCGTCCCACTTTATCCAGCAATGGAAAAAGATAACCTCTCATTAACTGGAAATGCACCACATCAAGTCCCCGCCGAGGTATCCAATCCCACTACATGACACTATTGTTAGCCGTAGCCATAGCCGTTGCCGCACTCGCAGTAGTAGAACGTACCTGTCTATTCGACCCATCTCAAACATCATTCACATTACGACCTGACAACCCACTGTTAGCCTCGCGAATAACTTTAATAGGCTACCCTTCTGATACTTACACAGTCGCCATCTTGCTTCCCCTGTGGAATTCCCATATCTTCAAACGTTGCAGGTCCTTTGGCAGGCTTTGCAGGGGCGCTTGCAGCACTTTGAGTAGCGGGACCAGACGGATGATTCGCCTCAGAGGGTCGCTTTCCCGTGGCATTTGGCGGAGCACTTGCTGGTTTGCCGGACACAGGGCCAGGCCGATGTTGGCTAGATGTTGTTTGTCCAAAGCCCGTCGACACTCTCGGCGGCTGATGGGTATCCTGTGGTGGCAGGGAACTAAGTCTTTCAGGGCGACCTGTGGCTCCTGGCACTCTGGAAAATCGCTCATAACCATGGGAATTATTTCTCAGGTCATGCTGTGGTGGCATCTCCGACGCAGGGCGTGATGATGTACGGGGTCCATAGTCTCGCCCGAAATCGGCGCTAGTTGGCGATACCGAGGAGTATGGCTGTTGGCCGGGTTGTTTCTGTAACTTCCCGCCAGCCATGTTTCCGCTAATGGGAGGCTGAGCGCTGTCTGATCGACCATACATGGGATCACCGGGATGAGGCCGTTGACCGCTTAAACCAGGTCCAGGGCTTGGTTGTCTGTACGCGCCAGGATGACCCTGAGGTTCCCACCCGGCAGACGCAACTCGGCTTTGAGGAGGACCGGCTTGTGCAGGAGGCTGCAAACTACCTGTCGAGTGGGATATGGGAATGGGACGCGGCCCAGCAGACTGAGGCTTGATACCAAAGGCACTTGATGGTCTATCTGCTTGCGGGCCATGAGCAGGCTGCAGACCGGGAGCGTATCTTCTTCTAGACGGCGCCGGAACGTCGTCTTCAGGATATGGCGCTGTGGAATGAGGGCGGTTCACGTTAAGAGGTGCGGGCCTATCGTCATCTGGATACGGTGCCGCGGAGTGCGAACGCATGGGCTGCGGTGCGTTTCCTTCGAGTCTGATATTAAATGCTTGAGGTCGATCAGTCCCCACGAGGGAGGCCCTTGATGGATCCGGGAGGTTTGCCTGCTCCGAAACAATGGTTGGTTTGATGCCAGGAGACGGCTGAGGAGATAGACGCGGCGAAGCCGTTGCCGAATGAGATTTTGTGTACGCCGGTTGTGAGAGGTGTGGTTTATTGTCTGTTGGCGAAAGCGGTGTCGTTTCACTCAGTGTGGGCATATGTTGAGGCTGCTTGAAACGATCTGGTCGCTTGCCTCTCTGGGAACCGTGCTGAGACTTGATTCGTGTTAAGGTCGTCGTCTCGTGGTCTTGTTTCGAGAGGCTCTTGTCATGACTGAGAGATTCCAGACGGCCAATGGCATCCTTGTTTCCATGATCGGCTGCGAGCTGATACCATTTTCGCGCATCCGGGATACTCTGGTTCACGTGGATGCCGATTTCGTAATAGTAACCCATAGCGAACTCGCCAGTTGGAAGCCTAGCGGCAGCAGCTTCCTGTGCATACTTGAAAGCGAGCTCCTCGTTCTTCTTGAATACACCTTCGTAGCCAAACAAAAACCATCGACTGACGCCGAGAGCAGCTTCTGGAAGTCCTTGTTTGGCGGCCAAGCCATAGTAATGCAGCGAGTAGGACGGATTAAACTCGCAACCGAGTTGGCAGAGTTCGTAAGCTTGACCCATCTTCAGTTGGGCTTTGGCAAACCCGAGATACGCCGCTTTCTCAACATACATTTTGGCTGTCTCCAAATTATACGGCAGCAGACCGTCGGGGACGTTGATGTCTGGCAAGTCGCGGCCTACCAACATGCCGTACACGTATGAACCTTGTGGCGCGTCCTCATCAGAGCTATCTGCGGCAGCCCGAATACGTTCCAGCCCGACAGCGTAGTCCTTGGTCTCACCGTGCTGCCCAAGGAGACTCATCATGCCCATACGATATAGGGCTGCCGAGTCCTTCAAGCTCATGCCTTTGTAGTAGTGCTCTTTGGCTTTGGACATGTCGTTGGACTGCTCATAAAGCATGCCCATGCGATACTCAGATCTTGCGTTCCCTAGCTCTGCTGCTCGCTTGTAGCCGCTATACGCTTCACGTTTATCGACCCGGTGTCCAAACTTGCCGAACTCTAGCCACTTGGAGCGCATGTACAAAGCCTGGGGGTGCTCCTGTCCGGCCAAGTAATTAACGATATTCAGCGCGTCTAGTCGTAGTTCGTGTTCGATGCGAGGTGTAGCTGGCCGGGGTTTTTCTGCAGATTCTCGTGCCACGGCATCCATAGCAATTTCGGCCCAGATCAGGACGTCCCCAGCCCAGCTGATCTGCATCCTCACATCCTGCGAATGCAAAACGTGTTTGCGAGCATTCCACAGAATTTCCTCTTTTGAATCATCGGCCGGAGGAATGTTGTCGCCAGCGACCTTGGGAAACGGAGAAAAAGACGGGGCATCGCGCCCCATGGTGTCAAGTCGCTGTGCCCGACCCTCGGTATCTTTGTATGCCGTTATATCGCTGTCGACTTCGGTCGCAACCGTGTTTGGCACTCTTGACTGATCAGTTTGGGGGTAAGAGTGATGTGGCGTGATTGTAGACAGCGATGGTTGTCGGCCGTATTGTGACGGGGCTTCGCGAGTTTCTCGCTTTTCACTATCTGTGGCCTCTAATTCTAGGCGCTGCAAGTCATCTTGCATATTTTGGGGAACTTGAGGGGTGACCCTGGACGTTGGTGATAGAGAGAGCTGTTAGCATGGCGCCCCACAAGGCCAACAATAGAATGCCGAAACTCAGCAACAATGAGTATCCGAACCGAACCAGAATCACGCTTCAGGTAATATGCAGGCGGGATAGACAACCTAGTAGACATATTGCGCGGAACGTACCTCTGCGGAGAAGGGGCCACGACCTCGGGCAGGTAGTAATCATCGAAGCCTCCGGGCACGAAAGTCGCCCCGAACTGAGGTGCCATCTCGCTCGACAATGACGGGAACCTGGCTTGGGCTTCTAATAAGGAAACACGGGTGCGAGTTAGTCGTCTTTCACTCAAACGTAAATTATTTACCCATGAGGGCGTAGTTTGAGCATTCGTAGACTCAAAATAGAAGGCTCGAGCCTTAGGATGCAGGTTCGGGTTAACGCAGACAGATGAGGCGGTCGGTAGGTACCAAAGTAGGTCGTCCGTCAAGTGCTCAACTGTTTGGAAATGCGGTAGGACTGATTCGGGTTCTAACCGTTTTACTATTGACGCACAGCTCGGCCGCGAAGAGGGAGGAGGCAAAGGTAAGTAGGCATCAAGACAGCCAACAAAAGTCTCCGTCAATGCCGTTGCCGTTGCCGTAGCCGTTGCCGTTGGCGTGGGCGTTGGGAAGATGGATGCTCGAGTGGAGTTGCAGCGAGGCTGGACACAGCAGAGCTCGCACAACCGTGACACCGCTTGCTGGATGGGCACGATATATATGGAGGTAGGAAGGAAGTACTTGAGTAGCCTGAATGCCTGATCTAGTGTTCAAGTGCGTGTTTGTCAACTGGCCTGACCCTAGTTGAACAAGATGCGTCCGTCGTAGAGCATGTGGCGATGCATACTGCCTGAAGTGTTCACGTCGCTGCCCCGCCGGGTTCAGGCGGATTTGAAAGGTGCCAATGCCAGCACAGGGTTCAGTGTTGAGCTTTGGCTGTCGTTGACCCGTCAAATCTTGGGAAGTGGGGGCCGTTCTGGGGCGCATGCAATAGTAATTAAAATCGATAATAATAAATCCTGGCAACCACACTCGGGCGGTTCGCCAGAGGTCAGATGGCTCAAATGCGACATCTGGCCCTTGACCCAAGGGAAACAAGGTTATCGCGTGCTGAGGCTGACCTTTGAATGGTCTTGGCTGAATTTGTCCTCCGGAGAAGGAGTTTCGCGCGGATAATGGTGAAAAGAACAAGTGTTGAGCAATGCCAACGGACTGGATGGAGTGCCTCCTAGCATCCCCCGGCACATCTACTATGGCACATGTATCTAGAGCCACCCATGATACTTGTCGGCGGGCGTACCCCATGCATTACTTGTAACAAGGGGCCAATTTGGGTGCTTGATACCGCCTGGTAATGCTTACTGCATCGCCAAAATTGACCGAGGAGTAAAATGAGCAAAACAGCTCTGGCGCGACTAGGGCGCCTGAACACAGCGAAAGCTTAAAAACCTGCTTACCTGGCGTTTCGTCATCTTTCCTACTCTTACTCATTGTTGTGGTTAGCTGCAAAATCTGGCGCCGACGGTTGCTGTTGCGAGAAGAAACGGCTGTGAACGGCTCGCTCGTCTCGACTGTAGAGGACGCTCAAAGAGCTAATTTTGGAATGGTTCCGACGCAAATGTCGGCGGCAGACTCGAATGCGAAGTCGATTTCGTAGTAACGCTTGTGCAACGAGTGAACGAGGCCATCAATGCTGTCCGAGCTTCTCCAAGGTGGGATCACGGCTGTCCCGTTGGTTACTTCCACCGGTGACGTTGACGACGAGTACGTCACCAAGCGCGTGAGATGTCGCGACTGATGGACAGCATCGTCCACTCAGAAACGATATCGACACCGAGAGGGTCGTACACGAATAATAAGTGGTGGCTACAGATGCTTCCTATTGCCCTTTTTGACCTGGGAAGCACCTACAGCAGTCGGCCGATGTGTGCTCCGTAGGTGCATGTGCCAGGAAACGCTACCTCCACGAATGGCTTCATTGCCATAGTCTTGACTTTGTCCTCATGACAGCCCGAACCTCTCACAAGGCGCACTAGACATCTGGACCGCAAACGTGCATTTTGGTTGCTGCTAGCATTCTCCACTTGACATGATACTCCCCTCCCAAAGCTTGGGCTCTACAAGGTACATGTACTACATGATACAATATGGTCAATAGAATCGCAGTTTCCTGTAAAATGACAGAGCAGGACGACATTTGCTGACTTCTGATGCCATGACGGACTGACAGCCAGGTGGCAAAGAATGTCTGACACTTGTGCGCCCTTTCAACAAAGGAGGTCAACTAAACATTGAAGTCGTTAGACATTGACATCGACATGTGCTCTAAACTCGAAGAGCATGCGGGTTATGGCCAAACTTCTGGAGCTATATTTGGCCAACACAGCCCTGCATCCCAGCAGACAGTGAACCCACCCACCATGGCTGAATCGGCTATCTTTGTACGGTATTATACGTGGTGCGGCACTGCAGGACCACTTGCTGACATCAGGAAAGGATATTGCGTTCAGTCTTATTAGTCTTGCTTGTTTACTCCCTTTTCCCTCTTTTCTCACTATTCTTTCTTTCTTTCCTCACTATTTTTTTTCACACTTCGGGCGGCTCTGCCGCGGTTCTGCGCTCAACGGTCAAAGGGGAAACCGTATGTACTCCTTGAGTTGCATGTTGCCATGTTGCCGGCGTGTGGTCAATGTCACAACATTGAATGTCAACTTGGCAGTCGGAATGGTGCCGACATGGAGTGATTTGGAGTCGACTACTGTCAGCAGACAGCTATGACTAGCACTAACTGCACCATTGTGTACTGGTGGAGGAATTCCCTGGGCTTGGTTACCTGGGCCCGAGTAAGCCACACACAAAAGCAGCCAAGCGTTCTCAGTTTTCTACCCGTTGGTGACTAAGTGGACTCCCACTTAGTTAGTCACAAAATTCTAGGATAGCTATAAAAGGCTAGGATAGGCCTTACTTAAACCTTTATATATAAATTAATTATATAATTATAAAAGTATAATTTTTTTTATATTATATAATATCCCTCTGGAAAAGGTAAAACCGCTAATAC